AAAAAAAAAACCCTAAATGACAAGTGTGGGTAAGTGTGTGGAGAAACTGGAACCTTTGTGCACTGCTGGTGGAAATGTAAAATGGTGCAGCCACTGTAGAAAACAGTATGATGGTGCTTCAGACAAACACAGAATCACCACATGATCCAACAATTCGATTACTAGGTATATACCCAAAATAATTGAAAGCAGGACTCGAACAGATATTTGTACACCAGTTTTGATAGCCATATTATTCACAATAGCCAAAAAAGGAAACAATCAAAACGTCCATTGATAGATGAATGGATTAACAAAATGTGGTATGGTATACACACAATGGAATATTATTCAGTCTTAAAAAGGAACAAAATGCTGACACATGCTAGACTCTCAGAGACATTATGCTAAGTGAAATAAGCTAGTCACAAAAGGACAAATATTGTATGATACCAGTTATATGAGGTATCTAGAGTAGTGAGATTCATAGACACAGGAAACAGAATGGTTGCCAGAGGCTAGAGGAAGGGGGCGAGGGATGGGGAGTTTTTGTTTAATGGGTATACAGTTTCAGTTTGGGCAGATCAAAAAGTTCTGGAGATGTATAGTGGTGATGGTTGTACAACAGTATGAATGTACTTAATGCCACTGAACTCTACACCTAAAAGTGGCTAAAATAATAAACTTCATATTATGCATATTTACCCCCCAACCCCCATGAATCTGAGAAAACCAGCAGGGTTAATACATGGAATAAAAGGGAGGAAGGAGTGCAGATTTTTAAGGGAAAATGGGAACACAACTATGAAAACAATCTTCTAGGTTATGAAGCTTTTTATCTTTACATCTGCAATTCAAATTGAAAAGAGACAAATAATCCATTTGTTAATAAATGAGACTTTTTAATAATCATGTGAAATATACCCAAAAAGCATGTTTACTGTTCCAAGATTAAGACTGGAGCTGGTGTTGGGTACTATCAGAACTTCAGTCTTTCAGACTTTGGAAGCTGTGCCAACATGTATGTATATTTTTTTTCCCTTTTTGTCTTTTTTCGTGTCCAGCAACAGATCGCAACCCTCAGTGTCGCGCCCGTACCGGACCGGGACCGGCAACGGGATCGCAACCCTCGGTGTTGTGCCCGCATCTCGCTCAGCCAGTGAGCGGGAACCGGTCTGTATGTGGGATCTGAACC